CATATAGTCCTTAATGGTGTATCATTTTTGTGTTACTGTCCAATGCTTGATGCTGTTCTTTTCTTGGCTACCATCATGTTAGATCAGTGTTGTCCAGGGGACTGGTTGGGGAATTCTGGGAGTTGAAGTCCACTCATCTTAAAGGGGCCAAGTTTGGACAACACTGCGTTAGATGTATGCCATTGTTCATAGTGACAGCAGCTGCACTCACAGTTACATGCAGAAAACAGCAGGAGGCAGCATTGGGCAGTTTTAGGAATCAGCTCAGAAGCTATCTCAGAAGCCTACATTGGTGATTTGTTCATCTGTTTCCAGGGTGGTTTTAGCACCAGAAACGAAATGTGCCTATCCTATCTTCTATATTATCCAAAAATAAATCTTACTCGCTGTGAAAGTATTCCTGACTTAATGGAGCAACTCCAGTTTATTGGGGTTAAACAAATATACAGACCAGTGAGGTAAGTAGGATGAAAGATACTATAGAACTAATACTTAACTGTATTCAACGTCATTTGAATAAATGCTCAACTCACTCCAAATTTATTGCATTTATTAAAAGATCATGGTCTATCCTGTAAGAAAACTTACTACTTGGCTTTTCATAATCAACTTGGGAGGGACATGGAGGCCTCCCTGTGGTCATGGCCCTGGGCCACAGTTCGTGCATCTGTGCCATAAGACTCTTGGTCATTACGTTACCAAGCCAGAGTTAAAGAAGACAAGGAGTAGGAACTGGGGGTCTCATTAATCAAGTGACTTCCTGGTGGGTTAGGAAAGGGCCTTATTCTGATTCTGGTGAATGGGATGTAACAAGACCTTTACTTTGGAACAGGCTCAAAATGCAACCAATACGCCTGACAGGCTGGTGTGTTTGTTGAAAGGCTCCAGTCTATCCTGAATCAAGCCAGAGGAAGCATTCCCATCACTGTTTGTCCAAATAATAAATGTTGGCTGGACTATGCGGTGAAAGTTTCCAGTAGCTGCAGTATTAAGAAGCTCGGCAGTGTTTCTTTAGCTTTTTAAAGTTTTGATATTTTTATGTTTCAGAATAAAATATACTGTTGGCTCTTAGGGTTGTTTTTATACTACTGTTCCCAAGAGTTTTGTTTTGTGGGGTGATCAGGACAGAGTTCGAAACTCTTTGAGAGAGCAGTAGCCTCTCAAGAGTATAATATTTGCAGAGTTTTTCTGTCTTTTTATAATCTCTCCTGACAGCTAAGGGAAAAAACACATGTTCTGATTTAGAGTCAGCAATTTGTCTTTCTAATCTCCGCAAGTAGACAGGGTAATAAGTGAATTGCTCTCTTGAATGAACATTCATACTATTGTTAACAAAAATGCACATTTGACCTGAGAAAAGACAAATGGTTTAGGGAGTTCAAAAAAAGGAAATGTTGCTTTTCAAATAAAATAGAAAATTAGTAACAGTTCAAGCTTGCAACTCCTCCAAAGTTCCAAATGAGTTGCAGGTTATTTTCAAGTAAAGCATAATGCTTTAATTTTATTTTTCAAGGTTGCAAGACAGTTGCACATCTGTATATCTATTTTATTAAATAATATAAATAATAAAAATATACCATGTGCTTAACAAAAAAAAATGTACAACCTGCCAACAGGTACTTGTTGTCTACATAAGCATGCCTATTTTAAAAAAATAATGAAGTGTTAACTTGAGGATTTCTGAGTTGTAATTCTTCCATATGTTTGTTTTGCTGTGCATTATCCTCTGCTTAGAATTTGAAGTTTTCATTCCTATTAATTGCTGTGGGGTTCCTTTTTCCTATATAGCTAAAACATATTCCCTTTTTGCTATTATTATTTTTTTCTTTCCTCTCCCCTTCCTCCTGCAATACCACAGCACATGATAGCACATACTATGATATGGGACTTCTGAGTAGATATGTATAGGACTGTGCGCTTGGAGAAGGATTTGCATAACTCCTACTGCTAATTGACTTCTTTGGGAATGGGAGGAAATGTAGATTAATTGTGCTTCAACTTAAAAAATATTCATTTATTTAGACAAATGAAAATGAATGCTCTTTATAATCTGAACACTATAAACATCTGGGGCTATACCCAACATGCATGTTATAGCTTTTATATATTTTTTCATCTTGATTCTCCCATGTATTTAGCAAATCTGCTTCTGAGAGACCCATTCCCCAATCCTCCAGAGAAGAGAAACATAGGAGGGGGGAAGTTGCAATTCCATCATTGAACAGACACAATAAGTATAAAAACAATCAGTAACAGTTTGAAATGTATTTTTATTTTTAATGTAGAACTTGGCCATTCATTATCAAGAGTCCAAAACAATACAAAAACCTTTCTTTTGTGGATGCAATGAACAAGTTTAAATGGTCCAGAGAACAGGGTCACTCCTATAATGACTATGTTCTTAAATTACCTGTAAATGTAAGGTGTACCAAGACAGAAAATGCAGAGTGGACGGTAAGTTGATTTCTCTGTTTTTCCTTTTGCTTGTGTCATCAGTTGCATAGATTGTAGAACATGTGTATTCTAAAATAGCCTTGTTAAAAAGATGAATTAGCAATTTTATTTAGTAGCATAAATAATTCCAAATAAAGGCTATACCATAGTAATCATTGTGCATATTTAAGGACAGAATAATGCAGATGAAACTGTAATGTTCACTGAGAACCCAAACAATTTACAGCAAATGTTGACTAGATCATATGATGCAACAAGGAATATGGATCTGAAGAAATGGATGCATCCAAGATCAAGATAGTTCTGCTTGACAAGCAAAACTGAGTCAATGATTGCAAGTTATATTTAAATAATGGAAAAATAGAGCATTTAGATTAATTTATATACCTTGATAAAATGTTTACTAAAGATGAGGAAGCAGACAGAGAAAATGTAGGATGTGAAAATACAGGTAAAATGTAATGGGTAATATGTGGCTTGCAGTCTGTAGTGTGAATGTCAGTTAAAAGAAGCAAAATATCTGCGGATGTTTTGTGTGGTTCTGCCCATTTTGTTCCATTGACATGAAAGCTAGGGAGAGTGGCAAGCTCTTAGGCTTTTGTCTCTTTAAGCACCATCAGTGAAGGAAAGCACATTGCCGCCTGAGGCAATTACTGTTAGGAATTTTTTTCTTGATGTCCCACTGAAATCAGTTTCCTTGTAATGTAAACCTGCTCTTTCTTGACCAATCTTCTGGACAGTTTCTGCTCTGTCTTCTGCATGCCAGCCCTTCAGATACTTGAAGACAGGTATCATCTCTCTCCAAAGCCTTGTCTTCTCCAGGCTAAATGCACTTAACACCTCCAACTGTTCCTTACAAGTAAAGGAGTAAGGCTTGGATTGCCCTTCTTGCAGATTCTGACCTTCCCTGCAGTTGTCACTGCTCTCACACCTAATTTGATAGCATTAAATATAATGGGGAAAAAAACCAATTGTTTATTAAGTGTTGGTATGTATTCTTTTGTTTTTATATTATTTTATTGTTGATATTTATAGGGACAATGCTTACCTGAATAATGTAATATAGATGTATTTGAATAGAAGACAGCTAAATGCAAACTAGCCACCAAATGTGTCTAGAATCATGCAATATAACTTTATAAGTAGATAATTTATTTCATTTACATTTCAGATTCATGGAATGATGGCTTTACCACCTGAAATTGAAAGACCTCATACAGCAGAGCCAATTATATGTAGCTCATCTTCTTGTTTAAATGCCAATCTATTTTTAACCATGTTGATTGTACTGCATATCTCAGCCATTGCTCCAAGGAATCAAGGACCTTTTGTACAATTGTAGATTATATCCACTCATGATTTCCATGCCATGCAAGTCCTCAAATGTTTGCACTGTCACTCTTGTAGATTTATTTTTTTTACATAGTAATAAACTAAATTTGTTTAAAAATACCGTGTTCATCTCATTTGAAACAAAATATTAAATATATACAGCCTTTTATGTACATAAGGTCCACTGGTTTGCAGTATCCAGCTAAACTAGTTGATATATAGTTTCATTTTTTTCATTCTGGCATATCACTTTATGATTCCAAAAGCTGCTCTGTATTTAGATATCAAGGAAATAAACTAAACATTATCTATGTAACCTTAATCATCATGAAGTCTGTTCTTATTTTGCCTCTACTTTTGAGACCTGCAAGTTACAAAATTATATAGAGTTGTATTTTGTCAGTCCCAACTAGGCATATCAACTATTCCTTATCCTTTCAGTAGAAGTGGTAAGTTAGTACTGGAGATGATCTTATCACCTTCCTGTGCTTTAGATTTGTGAAGTACCACACATTTGGAAGTCTGCCTTTGTTCATTGTTCTATTTTGTCTGAACTGGCGTTCCTATGTCTCTATGAAATCTCCTTTCCTTAGATTAGATATCTACCAGTGTTGGAGTGGTATGGCATCATAATTGTTGCTATTCAGGAAAAGTTGTCAGATGCTTTATATGTTAAGTGGCTATGCTTAACGTTTTAAATCTACTACTGGCACATTTTATGGCTTTTAAAGCTGGAAGTCTAAAAGAATAAATATTGAGGTGCAATGCAATATAAATACAACTAATGGTGTCTATCCAAAGTGAGTTAAATATGCAGGGAGAACATGTTTCTGGGAATATCTTTAATTCCTTTGTTGTTATTAATTGAGGAAGATAGTTGAACAGAAAGGCTGTACTAAAGTAGCATTCAATTTATGGAAGAAAAGAAAGGGATCATTAATAACATTCACAAGATCTACTTCTTGGCTCACACCAATTTAATATCATAGCCACCTCAGTGTTCAAAACAGTAGCATAGATAGTTATCATCAACATGTTCCATCTGACTGCCCTACCCATAATTTCAATGTTCATTTCAGAGCACAGATTAATTTAATTTTTATTACATTTAAAATGCACTTTAAAATAGTTCTATTGGGGATTTCTTCCTGCAAGAATTGATATGCTGAAGGACTATTATCTTTGTTCACAGGCTGTAGTAGTATCCTCCCACTGTGCTGAGATAACAACTTACAGAATATCCACTGTATTCTACACTGATCAAACCCTACTTTTAGTACTGTGTTCAGTTACAAACACCACACCTTAATAAGAATTCAGACTAGCTTGAATAGGTTCAGAGAAGGGCAAGAAGGGTGATCACTAGACCTGTCAGCTGTACAAGGTAGACCAGAGTAAGAAACCAATTCAATGTAGGTCAGTACCACTATTATTGTAACAGCTATAATACCAGAATATTGCAATTATGAATGTGCTTCCCCTCCCTCCCTTTGTCTTATCTCTGAACCCTTTATTGTCTGTGAACTAAAGAGGGGCTTGTGTGAGATGTTTTCTCAAGTTACTTTCTTGACCCTGGCTCAGGACCTTTTTATCTGACTGTTGCCCTGGTAGTGGTTCTTCTACCTATCCTTCAAAGCCATTCCCTCTTCCCCCTACAGGGAAGAGAGATTGATGGAACTGGGAATGTTTAGCCTTGAGAAGATTCATAGAGGGTATGATAGCACTCATCAAATATTTGAAAGGATATTTGTAGCAATGCTGAAGTCTACAGAGTAGAATGTTGGAGGTCCAAATCCCTGTCCCAGGAGCCCCATGAGAATTCACACAGTGTCTCACTTCCTGCTTTAGGATAATGACTTAGGAGTTCCTGCTGCCATCAGAAATTTAAGGCATGTCTCACTTGGCATGCATCTCCATTGCCAGTATGGAAGAGAGACAGGGCTCTCATATGCTATGCTGCCTTTCTGATGATTAAAAGGTCAACATTCAGCCTTTCCTTCCTTCTTTAAGAGATACACCAATCTCACAGGAGATAAACGAGATCAAACTTTATTTTAAAATATGAAATGAAATATAACCCTCCCCCGTTTAACTTTATAGGTGTTAAAATGCAGACCTTCAATGTGAAGAAGATTAAGTACAGAGCTGCTCAAATCATTTGCAAATTAGCTAAGGACAAATCCAAAAGAAAATGTAATACTCCAAATAGACCAAATACAAAGAAAGAGTCAGCCCCAAATCTCCAAAGAGACTGGAGAGGTTCAAATTATTACAGAAATCAGAACCCTAGCCCAAACTCCTAGTTTGGCACATTTCAGTTATTTCTACAATCCTGAAGCAAATGGTCTTCTAGTTCAAGTTTCCTGCACTTCTCCAGCTTCTCGGGGTTTTCCAGTTGTTCATCAAAGGCTGCTGAGGATGATGGAAGCTCCATCTTTTTTGTAGCCACTCTCCATGGACTTCTCCCTTTGTTTTCCCATATCCAGCAGAGGGAGGTACTGTAGCAATCTGATGCTGTACATGACAAAAAGCTGTATCTCACTGGGATGTGGACTGTGAGTCTCAGCCTGCAATCTGATATACAAGCTGCACTAGCAACAATATCATACAGAAGGTCAAGATCTATTTTCTACTGTCCCATAATGCAAGACAGAAAGTGACACTTTTAACTTATAGCAAGGCAGATCCTGACTGAATGCTAGAAAAACTTCTTAACAATAAGAGGACTTTAACAATATAACCTACAGAACTGGTGCTCTTGGATGTGTTCAGGGAGGAAGGTCTTGGGGTGATTTAATTTGGGCTCCTTCATCAAGTAGAGTTTTGGACCTGATGGCATGAATAGTCCCTTCCAACTTTAGGTATTTATAATTCAGATTCTCAGCCAGCAGGTTGGGCTTCAAAATCTGTGCAATCATTTTGAATAGGGACAATAGTAAAACAAAAGAAATGACAATATTTCTGTAGTATCATTCTCTGTCTCTGGGCCATAGCAGCTCCCATTAAGTAATATTTTGGCACTCAGAAGGGGTTTGATATGTACTGATGCAATTTTAGTTGAACCCTTTTGCAACTTGCTTTTCAGAGGCATTGGGAATGTCTTCTTCAACTGGAATTCTCTTAGATTTCACAATCTGATAATTTATCAATATTAATTCATTTTCTTCTTAGGGATCACAGTTGCTTTTCCTATATGTAGGCAGGCATATAATTACAAATCTCCTGTCAAGGGATGATTGTGTCTGAAATGAATATTCAAAAACTAGCATCATTTGTGATAATAGTTCAGCTAGCTTGATAATTTGGTTGGTGCTTGAATTCAGGAGTTAAGCTTTGTCATTTTCCTTAATATTTACCTCTTAGTTGGTTAGGCTTTCTGTTTCTGCTCAGGCACCCTTATCCTTTGGAATTCCTCTAGGATGGCATAAAAATATTTTAAAAGCTTGGCCCCTATATTGTTAGAGATACACAAATACACAGAGAGAGAGACGCATGTCTATGTGCCTTTGAGTCCATCCTGAGTCCCGGCGACTGCCTGGACAAGTCCCTGCAGTTTTCTTGGCAAGTTTCTTTGGAAGTGGTTTGGCCTTGCCTGCTTTCTAGGGCTGAGAGAGAGTGACTGGCCCAAGGTCACCCAGCTGGCTTCGTGCCTCAGGTGGGACTAGAACTCTTGGTCTCCTGGTTTCTAGCCCAGTGCCTTAACCACTACATATTAAAACCCTAACTGAAACTTTAGCATGTAGGTTCCAGGACATGTCAAAGAAATATTTTGGTTTAATGAAAGGATGCCCAGTTTCTGATAATATTGAAATTATTTCTCCACAAGTCTGGATGAATTATGGCACTCATAAAGGATATCTGTTGTCTTCTCTTGTATTTAATTTGGTTTGGACAGTCTAATGATATTCATGGTATACAAGTGACAGGAATTAAACTAACATTTTATTGCATGCAGATGGATATTCTGTGTCTTAGTAATGACTGACAAAAGTTCTTTAAACAATTTTGTGAAAGTTGTACAACAATATGGTAAAATTTATGGATATATAATATCAGATATCAGATATCTGGATATCTGGATATCAGAACAAACCTAATATTTTATCTGTAATAATAATGTAATGTTTCTATGGGAATATGTAAAAATGGGGTTTTGTTTTTTGCTTGGACTTTTTAAAAAGTATTTGAGGATAATATTCCTCTTTGATAAACCTGAACACAATACCACTGATTGTGTATATATGGACTCTTACAATGAAATACGTTATCCTTCATTAAAACTGTCGGAAAGCAAATACATATATATACAGTATGTGTCTGTGTGCATAAGTATAACTTTTTGTTATTGTTGTATGGCTTTCTTTTTTCCTATTTTCTCTTCTGTTACTGTTTTTTTCCTTTTGTTTATTAAAGAAAGCAAAAACAATTAAAATGTATGTCACTAATATTGATACTTCACAATAACTGTAAGTCTATGGGGAAAAATAAATATCATTATATATATATGGAGAGAGAGAGAGAGGAATGTCTGTGTTAATTTCTCTTAGATTATTTCAGAGAAATTGACCATTTTTTAATGGTATGGTCAGACTCCATACCTTAAAACCTTAATGTACCTTATAATAAATAGGGTGTGTGTGTGGGGGGGATCAATTTCTTTATTTCTAAAGAAAGTTTTATTTATTTATTTATTTCTCTATTTATTTCTAAATAGTTTTACTATTGGGTGCATTTGTTTTCTATTGGAATGAAAAGACTATGTGTTACTGTGGGCACAAGTAGAGAGTTATTATTTGGATCCTTTGAAATCTTGGCAAGTACATGACTCTAATTATAGTTAGAATTCTATTGTATTTCCAACAATGACAGCATTTAGATATCTTTGGGAGTTTTAGGGAAAGAAATAAAATTTTGATTCTGTTCCCATAAGAAATTTACGCTTTGGAAAAATCATTTAAAAATAGTGGGAAAAACATTTTTGGGGGCGGGGGGGGAAGTTTGGTTAGAAAAGGGATTATTATACCAGGTCAGCTCATTAACTGCTGAATGGCAAAGAATTCTTGTAATACATTTGTTATGTGTTCAGTTTATCCCCACTTGGGAAAGAAGTCCTCCATTGCATAAAACACACTCTCACACAGAGACATCTGATTAGGTCAGTTTTCCAGTTTGCCATTTGACCTTGATGTATGACCAACCAGAACAAGCAGCCTTTTGTCTCAAATAGCGCACTTATTTATGTTACAAAAAGTCTTGTCAGAGTTATTTTGGTAAAGCAGTGTGAGATAATCTGTCTCCATGGCATGAAACCAGAACTTCCAT